GCCCAAAGTGGGACTCAATCCCAGGACCCTGGGATCATGACCTGAGCCAAAGGCAGATGCTCAGCAACTGAGCCACCCAGGTGTGCTTCAACTGTAAATATTTTACCATGTGTAAAATATGTCTAATATTAGGTTAACTAGAGGAAAGTGTTTAGAGGAATTTTTTTTTTTTGAGTTAAAATTTACATCGAAAGATTTGCACGGGGGATCCCTGGGTGGCGCAATGGTTTGGCGCCTGCCTTTGGCCCAGGGCGTGATCCTGGAGACCCGGGATCGAGTCCCACATCGGGCTCCCGGTGCATGGAGCCTGCTTCTCCCTCTGCCTATGTCTCTGCCTCTCTCTCTCTCTCTCTCTCTCTCTCTCTCTCTCTCTCTGTGACTATCATAGATAAATAAAAGAATTAAAAAAAAAAGAAAGATTTGCACGGATCTTAAGTGTATCATTTAATGACCTCTGTCTTCTAAGTCATTTGTGTTCTCATAAGAGAACTAACTTCCATTATAAGGCCATGCTTTAGAAACTTGTGTATTCATTTGGATTTTCAAAAATAGACTTTGAATGTCACAAAGTACCGTAAACATTTCTTCTTTTTAATTTTTTATGTAAATAATAATAAATATAATAATTATAATTAAAGGTATTTTTATTTTTTCTAGATTGTTCCATGCTTCAGCAAATATTCTTAGCATTGCCATGATTTTATATAATACACTCTGGAGGAAATAACTTGAGGATGTTTTTGTTTACTTAAAAGTACAAGAATATAAAGAAAGGCAAGGATTGTTCTTTTGTATACTTCATAAGCTAAGTATGTAAAAGAGGTAGTTAATTCAAGACACTTGAAACATTTGAAACATTTATGGAGTGCTTTATAGGTTTATTATGTGCTTCTATGTACCTGAATTCACTTGAGCTCACATTAACCATGTTGGACAGTTGTATCTGCCCTGTAAGTGAAGAAACCAAGCCTCAGGTAGGGGAAAGGGCATTGCAGCAGTTGAATGCAGATCCTCTCACTTTATATTTCTTCTAGTGGCAACAGCTGAAGTTCCACTCAGTCTTTAGTTCCAGTGCCATTCCAGATATTGGATCAGTCTTTAGTTCCAGTGCCATTCCAGATATTGGATTTGCTGATGAATAGAGACCAAATGTTTTATTGCATAGACTAGTGTTAACTGTAGTGACGACTTTGATGCAAAGGCTTATGCCAATATTTTGAGTTCCCCATAAGGAAATACTCAGATATAAGGAAGCTGCAACTATTGGGATCCAGATGGAACTCTAAGTGTGTTATATTTAGAATGTGACATACTGATATTACATACCTATTTTGTTTTCACAAGAGTGAACAATATCATGATTGAGATGCCACTTAATGTGGCAAAATGCCTATTTTTCAGAAATGTATTATGTGAGAAGCTCATTGGAGAAAAGAAAGCCTTATTGATATATCTATCTATCTTGGAAGGTTTCTATTTCACAACATCCTTGAAGGACTTCCCCTTCTTTCCCATAGATCCTTAATGACAAAACCATCTGGAGAAAATCAGGTTGACATTGTCTGGGTAATGGACTTGACAAAAATGTGGGCAGTTTTGTTTTTGTCAGTGGATGTAAAGGTTTAGATCTTCATTTGGTTAATACCATCAAGGAAAAGCTGGAAGAGATTAATATGACTCCTGAAGAAAAGTATTCTTGAGGAAACCTCCTTGCGATAGCAACTTACTGAAAGTCCTTTAGGATCAGCAACTGGAAATAATCTGTTTGAGATCACCTTTTGAGTCTATATCCTTATTTTTGTCATTTTGAAGATGGATTGCATAGGACCTGAAAACCTTTTTCTAATATTAGTAAGGATGTCTGCCTAGAGAGTACAAATCATGTAATTCTTTCAAAAATATTAGATTGTTTTTGACATAGTTAATCGTTGATCTACCTCCTGTGCACCTGAAAAAGGTGACAGGACCTGGCCAATGAATCAGGTAAATACCTAGATACTCTGTAGATAGGACCAGAAGGATGAGAAAACAGAACATTGTTCCCATTTGCTGCTTATCCTATGCCTTTGTCTCTTGTCATCTTTCTCTCAGGGCTGGCTAGCTTAGATCCTGTTGAAACAGTTTTGTTTTGAGGAAAAGATAATTTTTAGGAAAAGATAATCTTTTATGTAAATCTGTGTGCTAGAAGTATCCTGGCAGGTCTGAGGTTTTTTTTTTTTTTAATTTTTTTTTTATTTATTTATGATAGTCACACAGAATGAGAGAGAGAGGCAGAGACACAGGCAGAGGGAGAAGCAGGCTCCATGCACTGGGAGCCTGACATGGGATTCGATCCTGGGTCTCCAGGATCGTGCCCTGGGTCAAAGGCAGGCGCCAAACCGCTGCGCCACCCAGGGATCCCAGGTCTGAGGTTTAAGGCAATGTTTGTTAGAGAAAGAAGGAAATGGATTATGGAAAAAAAAGGAGGCAGATATCCATTCAAAAGAGTGCCACCAGCAGTGTCTTCATCAGATAGTGTGTCTCAGCTGTATACTATATGGTATCTAATTTGGATGTGATCCACTTTGGGGCCACTTTATTCTTTGCGTCTTGAATCTGGATTTATCTATCTAGTTGTTTATTTTTAAATGCATCTCTCTTTCCCCAGTGTTATTGAAATGTTAGAGAATCAAGAAGAAGAAAAAAAAAAGTGCAGCCATAATTCTTTCCTCCTAATGAAACCACTGTTAAACTCTTGATAAAATCTTCATTTCTTATTCTGTAATTATTTTTTTGTTCCTGGAATTAGAAAATGCCTCTTTTTGTTTCCTGTTTTTTTGGAATGTCTTTGAATGTGTCCTCGGAAGGCCGGCTGAAGGACGAATATATTGGGTGATATCATGGTGGTATCAGTTAAATTGTTGTGCCAGTCTTTGAAAAGTACTACATCCTGCTTTTTTCTCAGTAGGTGACTAGTATTTGTACATCATTACTATTAAGTGTCTGATCTTTAAAATGATGCTGAAGGTAAGGGTGATGGGAGACTTCTGAAAAAAACAACACTGAGCTTTTCAGAAATTTTCCACATTTGTGGCTGGGACTTCTCAGCTGCTGCTTTCAGACACACATTCCTTCTCTTCATTTCCATTTGAAGGAGTCCTTTCTTATCATATCCAGATAAATTTTCTATGGCAGAGTAATGAACTATCATCAGTCTTCATTCTGATTGACAAACATAGCATGTTAGCTATGTGGGAATAAGAAATGGTGTCAGATAAGAGGGAAATGCTCTGAATTTTCATTAGATAGAACTTTTTTTTTTTTTAATAAACACTGAATTAATGAAGTGGTTCTGTTTTATTTTGCCTGAACCAAGTGAATTCCAACACGTGAAAGTCATTTGGAGTTTTAATATAGTTTATTCTACTGGGACAGACTTACTTGAGAATTCCTTTGTGACTCAGAGTGTAATGAAATTTCACCAGCTTATTTTGTTAAAGCTAGGAAAAAAAATTAAGTAAATGGGTATTTTGCTAAATGAGCTATACCTCTCAGGAATATGTATAGGAAAGAAGGAAGTCATGCAAATGGGGATGCATTTTCTTATGGGACTCTTTAATTTCAAATGCCATGTGTTTCAAAGGTCAGATGATCTTTATTATCCTTATTATTTAATCCTGGTAGATGAGTTTTTCTTCTCTCTTTGTAAAAATGGGTCTATTTCATGATAACAGCAACAATATTAGATCCATAGATATATTTTTTTTTAAATTTTTTTAATTTTTATTTATAATAGTCACAGAGAGAGAAAGAGAGAGAGGCAGAGACATAGGCAGAGGGAGAAGCAGGCTCCATGCACCGGGAGCCCGATGTGGGATTCGATCCCGGGTCTCCAGGATCGTGCCCTGGGCCAAAGGCAGGCGCCAAATAGCTGCGCCACCCAGGGATCCCCCATAGATATATTCTTAATCATTGGCCTATGTCAGTTTTGTTTGTCACTGTGTCTTTGGCACTTTCCACAGTATCTGGCAGTTACAGGCACTCAGATATTGCTTGGACAGTGTTGGTTATTGTTAATTGCAGAATAATAAATCTTCATTTGTTCTTTTATGTGGTAATTGTTTAATTGGAATTGTTTCTTAAATACACTAAAAAGCCAACTTACCGGGGCAGCCCGGGTGGCTCAGCGGTTTAGGGCTGCCTTCAGCCCAGGGCCTGATCCTGGAGACCTGCGATCGAGTCCCACATCAGGCTCTCTGCATGGAGCCTGCTTCTCCCTCTGCCTGTGTTTCTGCCTCTGTCTCTCTCTCTCTCTCTGTGTCTCCCATGAATAAATAAATAAAATATTTTTTTTAAAAAAAAGCCAGCTTACCTTTGTAAGTTTAAGGTTCTATCTTAAAATTTCTTGAATATGTTCTTTCAAAGCTTTGAATGAATGAATGAATGACTGAATGAATGACTTTCTGAAATGTTTTTTGCTTTGGGATATAAATAAGTTTTAGAAACAGCTGTAGTAATTTTAAAGAATTACTGCTGACTGCAGTTTTCTGAGGCTAATGTTTCAAAGTGTTCTTTTTTTAAGATTTATTTATTTACTTGAGAGAAACGTGCGTGTGTGGGGAGGGGGAGGGGTGCGAGCAGTGGGAAGGAATCTCCAGCAGACTCCTCACCAAGCCTTAGGTGGGGATTAATCTCACAACCCTGAGATCTTGACCTGAGCCAAAAATCAAGATTTGGCTACTCAACTGACTGAGCACCCAGGCGCCCCTATAACACATTTTTATAGGTTGCTGTCTATGGGTAGCATGGTAAAAAGAATTGGGAGATTTAATAATTAGTATAAATTTAAGTATTCTAAAATTTGTTGGAATAATTTGATAGTGAGGAAAAAGTATTTGGTGACTAATTTATATGTAAATACATAAATACAAGTTCTCTTTTCTAAAAGTGAATGTATGAAGAAGCTTTAAAATGGTACAAAGAGTAACATCCTAAGTTAATTCTTTTTCTTTTTATTTCAGGGTTGAAAACAGTGAGATCACATTTCACAGTTAAAAAAACTATTAAGAAGACAATATGGGGACTCCTGGTTCTGGAAGGAAAAGGACACCTGTAAAAGACCGATTTTCTGCAGAAGATGAAGCTTTGAGTAACATTGCCAGAGAGGTGTGTCTGGGAAACCCCCTCTCAACATTGAGTTGCCTAGTTGAGAATGTTGTAAAAATGCTGGGTTGGGGGTGGGGGTGGCAGCAGTATATATATAGACTTTCATTTACTGAGCTAGTTTCAGAATGCTGACTGTAAAGAAGATGTTATATCTGGCCTCTAAATAGTATATTAGAATAAAATATAGTTACAGTTACCATCTTTTTATTTGAATATCTGTTTTTAACCCAAAATTAATTTTTCATTTTTTTGTGGATTACTTTGAGGCATCTATAATGTTTTGAAATTTATAATTATTCTTCAGTATTGAAACTTGAGGTCATTAAATTGTGGAAAATATGGTAACTATATTATAGAAACACTCGTGGTCTATACAGTTAACATATTTCAGGAGGCACTGTATAAATGTTGACAGAAACAGTCCTTATTTGGTGTCTGCCCAGATTCAGTTGTTTTAGCTTTTTTTTGAAATACTGCAGTGGAATTTTTATGTTTAACTTTCAGCTAGTACCAGAGCTTCTGGAGCATTTTTGTTTCGGTTTGTTGACAACTCAGAAGAAAGAAAAAAATGGAAAGGGTTGTCACCTATTGAATCACTGGCAACATTTCCTTGTTGCATATCGGAAATTTAAGATAACTCCCAGCTGTGATTTCTTAGTAAGGTGCCAACTTTGTTTCAGACGCTGACTCTATCTGCAGCTGCAGACCTGACCATAAATTAATCTGGTGCAGGAATTGGTTAGAACATTATTAAATTATATTCTTTTTGTGAGGATTAGTCCTTCACCACTTCCTCTTTGTTATTCTTGGTAAATAGCTCATTTAGGACTGTTGCTATTTCCTTTGACATATTATACAGTCTCTTTTTGATCCAGCTCATTGTTACATTTTTCCTTGGTAAGCTACTTAGTTAGCTTTTGACTTGGAAGTCAGATTGTGTAGAGGGATGTTTGAAGCAAAGAAAAGTTGCCTGAAAACTGTTGACAAAATTGTGGTATTACTTTAACAAAATTACTTAAAAAAAGTCAAGTGGGATATTTTTGGATAAAACGATAAAAGATACTTTAAAATGAAGTGAAAATGAGATACAAGGATCTTAAGTATTTGCACAGATGAAGCATTTTGGGAGCCACATAGTTTTATTTGAAAACTGAAACTACTCAAAATGTTTATTTCCCAAATTAGAGGGATTTACCCAGATTTCTATAAGGAGAGAAAAATGTTGGCACCTTCTAGGCTTTTTTCTACTGTCACTAAATATTTGAGCTCTTTTTTTTTTTTTTTTTTTTTATCTATGATGCTTTGTTTGCAAAAGTGGATGCATTCTAAACATTTAACACTTGAGTGCTTTCTATATTACAAACATTTCTAAGCATTTAAACTGCATTACTTTAATCTTCACAGAATTCTGAGATTGGTTTTATTATTATCTCCATTTTAACAAAGAAACCATTGCACAGAAATGTTAAGTATCTTTTCTAAAGAAGCCATTGCACAGAAATGTTAAGTATCTTTTCTAAGGTCACACAGCCAGAAAATGGCAGGGCTTGGGTTCAAACACATGAAGTCTGGCTCCAAAGTCTGAGCATTTAACTACTCTTTGTGCTATACTGTTTCTGAATATTCTCCAACTCTCCCATTAATAGTTTGTGTTTTGCTAACTTTCCCTGATTTTGAAAGTACTTACACATCTTGATTCTCACAATAAGCTTATGAGTTAGGAAGGATAGGGGTTATTATTAGCCTTATTCATAGATGAGGAAACAGACAAAGCTGAGAGATAAATGTCTAAAAGGTATTAGTGCTGGGGCTCAAATTCAGCTACTTAAAGCCATTGTTCATTCTACTATACCACACTGCTTCCAGAAGAGGAGGGCTTTGGAGAGTTCTAAGTGTGGCCCTGAATCCTGGCTCTACTAGTTGCTTGTTGAGTAATTTTGTTAAGTAACTACTATAGTAAGACTTCAGTTTCCTCATCTGTAAAATGGGAATAATATTGTCTTGTATTACAGGGCTGTTGTGATGATTAAAGGAAATAAAGCATGTAAACCTTTAGCATACTGTTAGGCTTGCAGTGGACTATTTTGTTGCTATTTAGTAAGTCAGAATTGAAAGTGATACTAGAGGTAAAATGGTCTTTTTTGAAAAATAAATTCATTAAGATAGGGTGATCATCAGACACTATCAGGGAACTGTTTCTTTTTCTTTTTTTTTCTTAAGATTTTATTTATTTATTTATGAGACACACACACACACACACACACACACACACACACACAGAGGCAGAGACACAGGCAGAGAGAGAAGCAGGCTCTATGTAGGAAGCCCGATATGGGACTCGATCCAGGGCCTCCTGGATCACACCCCGAGCTGAAGGCAGATGCTCAACCTCTGAACCCCCCAGGCGTCCCCGAGGGAACTGTTTCAATGTACAGAGCCCCGGGCCTTACTTGTACTTGCTAAATCTGAATCTGTGGGGGTTGAGCTCAGAAACCTGTATTTAAGTGTGTGTGTATGCATGCATGCATGCACACACAGATACAGACACATATACACTTTTGTTCCTGGGATCCTTTTTTTTTTTTTAAGCTTTTATTTATTTATTCATGAGAGACACAGAGATAGAGGCAGAGACACAGAGATAAAGAGAGGCAGAGACACAGGCAGAGGGAGAAGCAGGCTCCATGCAGGAAGCCTGACGTGGGACTTGATCATGGGACTCCAGGATCACGCTCCAGACCAAAGGCAGGTGCTAAACCGCTGAGCCACCCCGGGATCCCCTGTTCCTGGGATCTTGCTGGCCAGTCGGATTTGGGAACCATAAACTAAAATATACAGAAGATCCTATCCTGGATAGTCAGTTTTTTATACCTGCAAGTGGTTTTCCTCCCTATACATTATTATTTTGCTATACATAATTTAGCTTAATCCAGTTATTAAATTACAAGTTATAGTATAATAATAAACATTATTCTAAAAGGATTTAGAAGGCCAGTATTTTTAGTTTTTCTATTTTCTAATTTCTAATAGAATATTTTCTATTTTCAGCATTCTGAATATGAGTATGCCAGTTCTTACTAACCTGGTCAAAAGGCTCAGCTTAACTGTCCATATGAAAAGGCCAGTTTTTATTAAGTTTCAAGATTTTTATTTGCATGAGTGCTTAGTATGTGATGTAGTAGTTCGAAAAGCTTAGAGGAAATAGATTTAGCAGTTTTAATAATTCCTTCATACATTTCTTGTAATTCTTTTTCTTTCCTTTAAAGTTTTCATAGCCAATTCTTAATTGTACATTCATATATTACATGGTTGACTTTTGCAGCTGATCCCTAATCCTTATTTTCTCCCATATGATCATCCCTTTCATAAAGCCAAAAAACAAAAACAAAAACAAAAAAAACCCCACGCCTGAAGTTAGGAACAAACAACAATAATGAACAGAACTCCCATAATGATTAAAAAGGACAAATAGCTTAATCCTCCTTTTTAAATTGTTAAATCTCAATTTACTAATTTGTGTTTTCTCACTTCAGATTGTTTTTTGAGGTAGATCAGGGATGCCATAAATAAAGAAAAATAACCTCTTTGTCCTCCTCTTACTATTTGCTCAGGTTTCTTTGCTCCTCAGTTGGCCCCAAGTCAGGGAACTAGAGGGAATGAGGAGGAAAAGAAACAAGGCAGGGATGCCTGGGTGGCTCAGTGGTTTAGCATCTGCTTTCGGCCCAGGGCATGATCCTGGAGTCCCCGGATCGAGTCCCATATCAGGCTTCCTGCATGGAGCCTGCTTCTCCCTCTGCCTACGTCTCTGCCTCTCTCGCTGTCTCTCTCATGAATAAATAAATAAAATCTAAAAAAAAAAATAAAATATATCTTTAAAAAAAAACAAAAGGCATAAATATTCTGTAAACTGGATAATTTGCATGTTAAAATATGGAACTGAGTACATTGTGGTAAAACACACATAACATAAAACTTACCATATTAGCCATTTTTAAAGTGTAGGGTTCTGTGGCCTTACGTACATTTACATTGTTGTGGAACCATTATCCACCCATCTAGAGAAATCTTCATTTTGATTTGTAATGAAAATGTAAGACCTGTGTACATTGTAAAAAGATGTTTAGATATTTGAAGACTGCTCTGTGAGGTCAGGAATGTGGATGGATTTAGAAGTCCCATCCTGTCTGTAGTAGGTATGTTGCTGTTCTGTGAGGGAAACATGGGCTGCCACAGCTTTGGAAGAGCTCAGGAGAGCAGTGTCAGAAGGGGTCACCAGCAAGTTCTCTATGGTGTCAGAGGGCCAATCTGCATACTTTTTTTCTTGCTTGCTTGGCTTTGATTGTTCCACAGGTTTGGGGGAAATGCATTTGGAGGGTTGACTTTAAGTGAAAATTACCTGAAAGCACAGAGTGTATCAAATTGGGAACCCCTGGACAGCTCACTCTCCAAAGGAGAATGACGGTAGCATGGAAGCCATGTATGCTGCCTTACTGTGGTTAGTTTGGCAAATGTTACGGTGAGTGTTCCCAGGAAAAGAAATTAAGCCTTTTGAAGGGATAGCAAACAGTCTTTTTAAGGCATCACAGAAGCCTAGAATATTACTGAGCTCCTCGTTTTAGAGCTGCAGATATGAAGAAAACATGTTTTCTGCATATTTCTCCAAATGAAAGTTAATCAGAATGTTGCTTATTTTTGGACTTTATGATCTGAGAGTCCCTCTAGCTCTAAAATTCTGTGAGTTCTCTTGAGATCCAGAACCCACAGAGATTCATGCTCATAATGTACAGTTCTCTTAAATCTAAAAGATCAATGACAAACATAGAAACTGATAAAATTTTAAAGGAGTTGAGGAATTTAGCAAATGGAGTTTTCAGAGACTTTTGTTGTTGAGCAGAATGTACATGTAGACATATTGGGTGCCTACACCTACTTATAATAAGGAAGAAGGGAAACTTTTCTGACTTTTTGACATTTGTGGCTGCTAGGGCTTTTAGATTTCA